TCTGTTTATCTCATATGTGGTCACTCATTTCTCAAGCAGAAACAAACAGGGCCTTAATAGAGGTACTTTTGTTTCCTGTGAAAGTCACATAAGTACCACGTATCCTGCTATCATAAAGAGACTTGAGGAGGTAGCTGGAAAATTGCCAATGGTTTTTACAACTAATTAGAGAATGTATTGGACATGCTTTTGGCAAAACTCTGAGGCACATCAGACTATTTACAAAGGCACGAAGCTAACTTGTACTGAGTCAGACCATTGGTCCATTTAGTTTGGTATCATCTATTCTAATTGGCTGTAAAGACAGACAAGAGAAAGCTCTTCCCTAAATCTGCTATCTAAATTCCTTTAACTAGAGAGGCCAGCAACTGAACTTTGAACCTTCTTTATATAACACATTTGCTGTACCCACGGAGCCATGGATCTTTGCTATATTCATCTATGTGCACATCCTTAGGGAAACAAACTAAGAAGCAGTTCAGGCTCTGACTGAAAGAAGGTGAGATATAGTCCCCTTGATATGACAATCCAGGGGACTGGAAGAAGGTGAGATATAGTCCCCTTGATATGACAATCCAGGGGTCTCTAACACAGACACACCTAAGGCCAATCAGGAAGTAGATCTCTGTATTCCAGAAAAGAGTTCTGAAAGAAGGCTTAGAACTGGAAGTAAAAGTCTTGCTTTCTGACAGATCCTATTTGTTTTGGAAGGCCAGGAGAAAGACAGTAGCTCTTCTGCCACTTTGGCCTGGAGACACTTGAGGAAACATTAAAAGAACACCCCTGGAACTGGATACGAGGCTAGCAAGGATGAAAATACACCTTTATGTTCTCCAGAGGAGAAGGGAAAATTGGGTAAAGTGGTAACCGGGAGGACAAATTTATTGCCTGATATGAAATTGAAATTAATGAACTGAACCGAGGAACAACTGAGTGTCATAAATATTTAGGAAAATAAATGACTACCAGGGTACATGTTTGATCCACCAGGTTGGTAGGATGGTTTTCTCTACATCATCACAAATGGCCAAAACAGAATGTTCTTTAGTAGTGGGAAATTGCTACCAATGAAATGCTTGCCTTGTGGCCACTGCTGTGACATGGCAAATTATGATGGCATCTATAAGCTGTCCATTGTAGACCCTGATTATGGGAAGGAGGTTCTGAACTGAAACGGAGGGAACTGACCCTGAGAACCTTTCCAACTGTTAGCAAAGTCTGTCCCATTTGATGGGCACAAGAGTGGGACAAAGAGGGTTAAAAATGGTTAGAAAATGGCAACAGAATGGAGGTTCCATGAACCAAAAGATATAATAGAAGGGTGTGGCCTAAGAAGGAAGCTGAATGTAGAAGAGAGAGACAGCTGGAGTTATGCAACACAAGTCGATAAAAGAAGAGCAATAGGTTTGTTTTGCAAAGATGGCAGAATTACATGTAGAGAACAAGTAATGGTGTGATTGACAAATACATGTTAAGTGCTAGCTTGTGTATTGGTTTTTGCAGACAATACCACTGGAAGTACCACTATTTATCCTTTTCAGCCAAAGTGATCCAAGGAATATATTGCTCATGGACCTTAGAGATGTGGATTCAGATCCTTGTTCAACTACAGAATCAACTGGGTCCTTCTAGGCAAGCCTGGGGATCTGGTATCCGTCAAACAACTTAAAAAATGTCAGGAAACAGGCCATAACTATTTCCTCCACTCCTTTCTCTTCCCAGTTTTTTGCAGATATGGGGAAATGGTTGAAGGAGCAGGATGCCAGGGAGAAGCAGCATGTTTTGGATGTTTGGCGGACACTGTTGCCCAGATGTTCCGAGAACCTCCCAGTGGAGACACTAATTGGGCAAGCATTGGAATTCATACCTCTAAGATCCAGGCTCAGCATAATACCTTGGACTATGCTGAGTTGATTGAAAAAGATGGTATCAGTGATAGTCTGTAAAAAGTATTATTTAGTAAGCAATCTCATGGCCAAATTAGATATGACTTTGGGAATCCATGATCAGCATATAATTCAGTTTCAAAAGAACAGCCAACAGGATGGGATAAGGATATTATGACATGGTAATGAAGTATAACCAACCTATTAATTTAGATTTGATTATCATGAATGTAAAATTAATTGATTAATCCAGATATGATTATTGCAAAGTGTGTAAATATATATATGTGTGTCTGTGTGTGTTTATTTATCTGAAAACTAATAAATAGATTTTAAAAAAAAAGAACCGCCAACAAGGGAGAAGGGGCTGAATTGCATTGAAGCAGAGAGAGCAATCGGCCTTCTCCCCAAACGGTGTCTTGCACACCCCGGGGAGGGGGGAGGGGTGGATTTTCATCAGGGGAATGGCACAAAGAAAGTTAACCCCATCACACCCAAGTCTTCCTGTGGCTGCTAAGTTTCCATTGAGGCACCTAGTCATAGATCTCCAAAATCACGTGCCATTTAGCTCCTAGTTAACACTTAATATTTTATTTATTCAGTTTGATTTTTAAACTTCCATCCCCTGTGGGACAGGGCTCTGGGTGGTGTACACCAAGAAGACTTTACATAATAGTTAAAAGTTAAAAATCATAAAAATACAGCAATAAATAACCAAAAGATGGCAATGAAACTGTCGGAATATGCCACTACCTCATGGGGGGGGGGCAGGAGGAGTGCCAGCCAGATGGAAGACTGTCGCTGCCCTCAGTCAAACACCTGGTGGAACATGAACTTGTTAATTATGACATTATTCGTTTTATGTGTAATTCTGTCATCTCCCTTGCACAATGAAACTAAAGTTTGAAAAAACAGTGTTTGGAAAAAAGTGATCAACCTCATAGGGTTGTGGTGAGAATCAGCATGATAAATATTATAAAAGTCTAGGGTGCTACATAAATAACGCTAAAATTAGTAGCTTATGGCTTCTGATATTTTCTTGCAAGGCCTTGGATATATCCTGGCTTGTTTTGATTATGACATGCAGTTCTGCAGGTGTGTCGTCATACTGCAGAATATCCACAAAGCAATTTTGTGGCTCTGAGAGGAGCTCCTATTCCCATTTGGCATCTGTTCTTTTCCTCTGGAGGTAAAGAACCTATTCAATAGAATAGGGGTGACAACATTGCATAGTGCTGCCTTGGTAAGTCTCCTTCCTTCTGCTCCCACAATCTGCATTGTGCAGCGACCTAGATCAACTGGACTCTTGCTGAAGCTGATGTCTTTGTAAATTGATGCCTATTTGACTTTGTACCAATATCCATGCGTGTTGTGTAGTCTTTTCTGACTGATGGCAACCCTATGAATTGGTGATCTCCAAAACATCCTATTGCTAACAGCCCTTGCGCAGGTCTTGCAAACTGAGGGGCCCTCGTGGCTTCCTTGACTGAGTCAGTACATCTCATATTTGGTCTTCCTCTTTTCCTGTTGCCTTCAACTTTTCGTAGCATGGTTGTCTTTTCCAGTGAATCCTCGCATGATGTGACCAAAGTACAAAAGCCTCAGTTTAGTCATTTTAGTTTCTAGGGAGAATTCAAGCTTGGTTTGATCTATAACTCACCTACTTGTCTTTTTTGGCAGTCCACAGTATCTGTCTGCCATTCCTACCCAGCTACAAAACTATGAAAAGCAGATGTTCCACGTTGTTGCTTTTTAGAAATATGAGTGTTGACTGGGATTCTGCTAGCATTGTGTGTGTGCCCTTCATCCCTGACAGCTATGTGCATTTATTAAATCAGACAGGCATTTTAATCAATAGGGAAAATGGACGTCTAGGGTATATGAACTCAATCATTGATCTGGAATGGATCCAAGACTGCTGATTTGAGACAGAAACACCAAACAGTATTTGGGGGATTGTAGCGAGATAGTACTTTTGATAAACACTCAATTCAAATGCAAGAGATTAAACAAATGTAAATTTTTACAAAATGACACACTTTATTTATCTACAAGGCAGTACAGTGTATTATAAAAACATTAAGTGCAGATCAAGGCTGCACCTAATTCTATTCATTAAGGCAGCAAAGTTAGAAAAGGAAACAACCTTCCCTTAGAATTGGTAAAGGCTAGAGACGGCAGTCCAAAAGACCATACTTTTTTTTAAAAAAAAGGGATTTTGCGTATGGAATCCAAGTTAGGGAATGTGTAGACTAAAGAGTAGACAACAGCAGAAGACACAAGCCAAGTTCTGTTCTCCCAAATATTTTGAATTTGCAATCCATGTTGTTGCAAAGTCATCAGAATACATAGAGACATGTACATAAAATCTCCCAAAAAAACAAAGTGTTTTGAAGTATTGCTTGTAAAAGTGAGGAAATGAAATCATTTTTTCAGAAATGCTAGTGCATAGTCAGGTCAGCTAGCCCCCAGGTTTTCTCCTTCTCTGGTAGCCCTCTATGGCCCTTTCCCCCATTGTAGCCCATCTATATGCTGTAAGACAGTAGCAGCAAAACAAAACAAACCCACAGTATCCATTTGGCATTTACAAAATTAAATTACTGAATAAAAAATATAATTTGTTCTCATAAAAACTATGTTTCGTACAGTAATAATTTTTAAAAGCAAGCTATTTAAAAAACTCAACAGAACACACACATGTATAAACAAGTCCAGAGCTCTAATGAGTGGAACCGTACTTCAAGTGGTGCCGATGTGTGAGCATATCCACCATCTTGATATGGCCTCCCACTCCCCCACCCTCTCTTAAATGAGCATCGGTAGTAATGCTTTTCTGCAGAATTTTATGCCAAGACATTTGTTCAATGATTTAAAATAAACTGTTGATGAGTGCCAGCTCTCAAATAATAATAATAATAATAATTAAAAAAATATTTTGCAAAAACTCCTCACTGGCATGGGAACTCCTCACTAAATTAATACTGGTGCATTTGATCTCCAAGTATTTTTTTTAAATGATTTGATTTTTTTTTTTAAAAAAAATCTGCATTCATATTATTAATTTCATCACACTCAATACCTAATAACTTAGGCAAGCTTCATTAATAAACAGAGGGGTTTTTTAAGTTGGGTGAAATCCAACTTGAATAGATATATGCTTTTGTGACTATATGCACTTTGTGCTGCTCCCAAATGTTGTACCACAACAACAACAACAACAACAAAAAAGGCTTTTCTCCCATTCACAAAAAAGGTTTCCTATACAGGAATGGTAAATCCTAAATCAACTGGAAGTGTTTTGAAAAGAAAACGTAATGCTCGCTGGAAGACCATTTACATGACCAGAGTTTGAGTTGAGAATGCATTCATGTATTTGCGTCCCGGATCAGAGAAGGTCAGCTGGTCTTCTGTCTTTCCACAGGATGCTGAATCCCATGCACTGCTGAAATGCTTAAGAAATAAAAATAAAAATTAGAGCCTTATTTTTAAAAGATGGGAAACAACCCAATCCTTTCAAGCATATCTAAGTTTGTGGATACAGTGGCCCCACTCTTCCCCCGGGGTCTCTGTTACATAGATTACTTGAGCTCAGAGTATGAGTAGCAGTGCAAGGCCCTGAGAAGTGCAGGTAAAGCTTCTACCAATAGGAGGGGGAGACAACTCTCCCACTGAAAGTACATGTACATAAACACTCCCTCTCCACTAGCTGACAATCTGGCTCAGCTATTTTTACTGGGTCTCCTGCACAAATCTCCTTGCTAATGTAGCATACTATATATACTTCAGATTGCTGGAAAATGAGCATTCAGATAAACTTAGCTTAATCACTCCTTATAGGGTCAAAGGCTTCTGTTAGGATTTACAATAAATGTGACAGCTTGGAAGCAATCCTTTCCTGGTCACCATTTCAGTGTCTATTTCACTCAGGTTCAGCCATTTGCATGCACATAAGCCATTCACAGCTGGCAACACAGAACTTGTACGCAATTTAAGAAAAAAAAATAGTCTGAATCGGCTTCAAACTTCTGTTATCAAATGGAATATGAAGAAGACTTTTCACTTGGGCTTCTGAGGAGGATTTAAAAACAAGCCAATAGCGAAATCTTTTAAAAGAATGCAGTTCGTGACACCCCACTACGCAGATCATTGCTGGACTTGGGGGCTAAATGTCAGCCTAAACTGCCCCACTTGCCCCTAGGGTTGCTGACAACTTGGACAAAATATGTCTTGCACCTTTAACAGCGGCTTTATGAGTGGGAGTGGGCAGCTGAAGCTTTTCATGGTAGGGATAACAGCGCCAGGTAGAGGGGCAGGGCATTCTTCCTCCAGGTTGCTGGCAACCCTACTTGCACCCTAGCTAAATAGGAAGATCCCCAACAGCTTCCTCTGACATTAACAAAAGGCTCAGCGTTTTGAGGCGTCTTCCGTGATGTGTTCCTAGCAGCACAAGACCAGAAGGAAGCAATACAAAATGAAAGGACAAGAAATTGAGACAGATGATAGAAACATACTTCTTAAGCGTAATTTAAAACAATTTTGTTCTCATTGTATCTACAAAGGTCAGAAGCTCTACTCAGCACAATGCAGCACAGAGAAACAAATCTGCACCAAGGCTTTTATCAAGATCCTTTGCTTGTTCCATAGACATGCAAAATACCTCTCTGTGCCTTGAGCTATTGGCACAGTAAACATTTCAGCAATCAATGGAATTTGTGAATACAGATAAATATTTTTGTCTCCTGCACATTTTCATGTTCTGTGCTGATATCAGAACTGGTAATTTTGCCAACACAACAAAACGGGTCATACAACTTTGTGTTCCAAATTCTAAGTGTAATTGTCACATCACAATTCCCAGGATGCAGATTTAAAGGGTGCGGGTGGGGGGGAAGGGGAGATCTGCCATGTTTGTGAGGGTGGGTAGGGGCAGGCTTGAACCTAATCCCTTGCTTCTGTTCGGTACTGGAGGGCAGGCTGTGTGTGTTTACAGTAATAAACAGCATGTCACTTTACGTTCCCGTAAAATGACCAAGGCAACCTTGCTTAACAAAAGATATTCCACCTTTCCCCCAAAGTCAGCTCCCAAGATGCCTGTCTACCACCAGGTGGACTACAATGAGGTTTGAGCCCAGTGGCACCTTCAAGACCAAAGAATGAAAGTTTATACCCAGAATTAAACTTTGTTGGTCTTAAAGGTACCACTGGATTCAAACTTTGTTCTATTGCTTCAGACCAACACGGCTACCAATCTGAATGTATAACCTGGTGGACTGTGTGTCTAAACTACAGGCATGGTATACCCCCTGCCATCTGATTACCTTTTAGCTCAACACTGAACCTCTACTTCTCCAAAAGAACAATAACATTTATTATATAGTCAACCGGCCTTTCAGTAATATTTCTTCAGATGACAGCCAAGGGTAGCTATGACGTAATTTTCACTTCATGGACATGCCATACCACGCTTCTTCTCTCATGTAATTTCTCATAGTGACATTCTAACATTTTTTGGGAGACCACTGACTAATGCCTGCTCAGGGATGAACAGCTGCTGCCAAACCAACTGATGTTTTTGGAAACAGCCAAAAAAAGGTTACGTAGCAACTGTACAGACCTGATGGTTTGCAGCAGAAGATCTCCCTTGGCCAGGAATACAGAACCAGGCAAGGAGATATGCAAGTGCTACTAGAAGTGTTGTCCATTGCAGCCACCTAAAATGGCTGCCAGTGGAGGAGAGCTTCTTCCCCTCCGAACAGGGAGGAAGTCTCAGTGCCTCGTTAAAGTGTCATATGAGATGATCACCAGATAAAAGCTTAGGGGGTAAAATGGTATCTCACCTTAAATTTAATCTTTGCACGTAGGGCTGGGAACACTGAGTGTTAGTCCTCCTTGACACTGGTCATTTTTTTTAAAAATTGCTTGGTTTGTTTACATATATAAACAGGTATTCATCTGCTGTGTTTATTTACATTCTAATAACAAAACTAAGTGGATCCAGCATAAAAACAGTACTTGAATGAATGGTAATGAGCTTTACGCTCTGCAGAGAACAACTTACTGGTAATCCCCAGCCCAAATGACGTCCGGCTGTCCTTGACCAGAGCCAGGACCTCCTCAGTCTGGGCTCCCACCTGTTGGAATTCTCTGCCAAATAACATCCACACTCTGCGGGACTGAATGCAGCTCTGTGAGGCCGAGGCAGAGATGTTCCACCAGGCTTTTGGTTGAGGACAGTGACGGGTGCCATCCTATCTGGCACTCCCTCCCCCCCCCCATCCTGCTTCCCCTCTACCTCTCCCATGAGACAGTGACACAGTTTGGAACACTGACGTTTCAGAGCCATCTGAGAATGTTTTTAATTATTTGTATTTAATCGTTTGGGGCCGCGGTGGTGCTGAGCTGCAGACTGGAAGGTCTGTAGTTCGGCAGTTTGAGACCCGAGTGCCACATGACAGAGTAAGCTTCCGTCTCTGGCCCCAGCTCCTGCCAACCTAGCAGTTTGAAAGCAAGAAATTGCAAGTGGATGAACAGGTACCACTTCGTTGGGAAGGTAACAGTGTTTCATGCACCTCGGCGGTTAGTCATGCTGGCCGCATGACCACGGAAATGTCTTCAGACAGCGCTGACTCTTCGGCTTGGAAACAGAGATGAGCACTGACCCCTAGAGTCGGATTCGACTAGCTTTTGAGCAAGGGAAACCTTTACCTTTATTTAATGTTTAAAGTTGTTTTATTCGTGCATCAGTGCTTTTACTGTTCACCACCCTGAGCTCTGTGTACTCAGAGAAGGGCGGTCTATAAAGTTAAATTATAAATAAATAAATGTAAGTAATGTAACAGGTTTTAAAATCGCCTAGGTATTCTTGACAATGCCAGTTTCATAGTTCTGACTCAGCAGAGAGCTTCAGTAGGATCCAAAGAGAAAGTGAATACACATGAATACATGAAGCGGCCTCTTTATTGAGTCAGCCCATTGGTCTAGTAGTACAGTCTACTGTGACAGGCAGTGGTTGTGCAGGTATTTCTCATTATTTGCAACCAGATCAAAAGGGAGATGCTGGGAACGGAACCTGCAACCTTCTGCATGCAAAGCAGATGCTCTATTACTGAGCCACATGCCGTCCTCAGAGATAAAAGGCTGTCATGGAGCACGTTCAGATTCTCGTAAGGATGCGGAGCACAGACACGGACAACACTTGCCATCTAGGGTTTCGGAACTAGACCTTTACGTCCTAAAACAATGGAATCAACTGGCCAGATATGAAGATCATAAAGCGGTTACATGATTTGCAATTGTAATGTTTTATACATTTCCCATAGCCCACTCTGGGTCCGTTCTTTTGAAAGAAAAGTGAGGAAGTCACCATTTAAATAAATAAGCATGCAAGCTGAACCAAACAGAAAGTTGGCATACAGCCGCCTGGTTTCATTATCTACGATATGCAGAAGTGGGTAAAGATCTGAATACATTGCAAAACACAGCGATCTGGTATAACCAGAGAGATAGTAACTGCCCTGTTTGTCACTACAACGTTCTGGGATTCTCTCCATGGATAAAGAAAGGTTGTTGATTTATGAGAACAATCCTAAATCAACTACCTCTGAAACTACCTTAAGCCCAGTTTGGATGATTCTCCCTTTACCATCTTCCTGCACATGGTGAAAGAGAGACTGGACATCAAGCATTCCTATACTACCTCCAGCATCCCCAGTTATTCATAAATGGGTTATCATTTGAATAGAGTTACATATACAACATCTAGCACATACTGACTAACACACTCAGTGGCTGATTCCTCAGTGAGAATACTGCTTTAGGAAAGTGACACAAAATCAACACAGGGTGCAGGAATGACCAATGACCCCCTCCCAAACTATGACTCCACAGGTCTTACTCTAGTGCAGCGGTTCTCAACCTGTGGGTCGCGACCCCTTTGGGGGTCGAACGACCCTTTCACAGGGGTCGCCTGTAATTAGAAATAAATATTTCACAACATATAATTACATATTGTTTTTGTGATTAACCACTATGCTTTAATTATGTTCAATTTGTAACAATGAAAATATATCCTGCATATCAGATATTTCCATTACGATTCATAACAGTAGCAAAATTACAGTTATGAAGTAGCAACGAAAATAATTTTATGGTTGGGGGTCACCACAACATGAGGAACTGTATTAAAGGGTCGCGGCATTAGGAAGGTTGAGAACCACTGCTCTAGTGGCTGTTTGTGAGGGACTGAGGCACACCAAGACATTACCATCACAAAACAGCAAGCCAGGAACAAAAAGGACCCTGTGTTTTTACTGGGACCTGTTCAACAGTACCACTGGCCATACTCGGTAGCCACATGCCTGCAGCAGACACCCCCTACCTCTGCTTGGCAATACTCACAGGTATGAACACAGGGGCCTTCCTCTTCTTACACACCTCTCCTCTCATGGCACTAAAGCATTCCACACAAAGACTGAAGGGCAAGCCAGCAACACTGGGTCTAAACTCCTTGGGATTGCACACATGTAAAAAACCCTTTCACTATCACGCTGAAGATATTTCTTAAGCAATGGGTTTATTCACACACAGGAAGCCTGCTATAAACTACTGGAAATTAAAATGTAATAAGAAAGGCAGGCAACTTTCCACAAGCTTACATTAAGTTCATGTTTAATCATCAAGGCCAGGTTTATTTCCAGCCGTGTCAGTCCTGGTTCATTTTGTTACTCCAGTAATCCTACCAGCACATCCTTCTCCTGGAAGCACAATTATCTCACTTATCCTGTAACGTGCCTTCTGCTGCCCCAGGCAGGAGCGAATGGTAAACAAACTGTCAGGGCTTTAACTGGGATATCCAGTTGAAGCACTTTAAATAAAAGTGAAGCCTTTAGGGGAAGGAGAGCAGTAAAGTCAAGGCTGGGCAAAGGTGCTTTTCTCCACCTACAGAAATGCTGATTTGCACAGTGTGTTTTTTCTGTCAAGAGTGTTATTCCCGCAAAGCAACCTCCGTGAAAACATAATGTCTGAATGTGTAATATTTACTTATTTTATTCATTCACACCTCGCCTTTCTCCTCAACAGGGACCCTAGGCGGCTTACATCATTCTCCTCTCTTCAGCTTCATTCTCAAAACAACACTGTTAAGATAGGTTAGGCTCAGTGTAGCTGATTTGCACAGTGTGTTTTTTCTGTCAGAGTGTTATTCCCGCAAAGCAACCTCTGTGAAAACAGAATGTCTGAATGTGTAATATTTATTTATTTTATTCATTCACACCTCGTCTTTCTCCTCAACAGGGACCCTAAGCGGCTTACATCATTCTCCACTCTTCAGCTTCATCCTCAAAGCAACACTGTTAAGATAGGTTAGGTTCAGCGTGTATGACTTGCCCAAGGTCACTCAGCGAGCTCCCATAGCACAAGTGGGGATACAACATTCTTAACCACTATACTATACATATTTTACAGTATGTGTAATATATGTGTTACACAGGGGATTTCTGAATACAAATATGGAATACACACAGATTCTTATTTATGCTAACAGACTGAGTGACATAGTCACAAACAATGCTTACATGTAGGTTCAAATTTGGATTGCTTTTTAAAAAATAAACTTTAGAGCTGGATTATGTCTTAGGCCAATATACATGGCCACCCACGCAGGTCCACATACAGACAACACAATCACTGGATCTAACAACAGTAACTACACCATCCCAGGCTCATTCACATGCTCATCTTCTAACACTGTATATGCCAATAAATGCCAACAATGCCCACCAGTTCTCTACATAAGGCAAACAGGTCAAACCCTATGCCAGGGGTGGCCAAACTTGCTTAACATAACTGCCACACAGAATAAATGTCAGATGTTTGAGAGCCGCAGGACATGAATATTACATATGTTTTTTTTTTAAAAATATGCATATTTGCTTTTTATTAACATTAAATTAGACTGTATGAAAGAGCCACATGTGGCTCCTGAGCTGCAGTTTGGCTACCCCTGCCCTATGCCAAAGGATAAATAGACACAAATCTTAACATCAAGAATCACAAAACTCAGAAATCTTTTGGAGAATACTTCAACCTCCTGGGACGCTCAATGGGGGACCTCAAGGTAGCTGTTTTATTGCAAAAGAATTTCAGAAACAGACTAGAATGGGAGACTGCTGAATTACAAGTTATTACAACACTCAGGACAATGGAACCTCCAGGGCTTAACAGCGATATTGGTTTCTTATCTCACTACACATGCTAACATCATTCAGTTCTTGCATCTGTTTGTAAGCTTTTATTATGATGCATGCTAATCTGCTGCTAATCACAGGTCTTATCAATTGCCTTAGTCCAATCTTTTAACTCTAATTGGCCTTCCTGGCAACATCCCCCTCACCCACTACCTATATGTAATGGTTGATAACTTTGTTTCAGTGTATCTAAAGAAGTGTGTATGCACACTAAAGCTTATACCCAGAATAAAACTTAGTTGGTCTTAAAGGTACCATGGGACTCAAACTTTGTTTTGAAGTTATTGCGATTACTTCAAATGAGCAGAACAGTGTCCTGATTGTTTTACATTGAGACAAGATACTGAAAACAGAATGGCTGCTATAGATGCTTCTGGAAATAAAACCCCTATGAGTGTTTCAGGGCTTCATGTCTAATAAGACTGTTTACTTTTCTTTTCACTTTAGTAATTTTGGGGACTGAGAACTGCAGACCATTTATTAATTGAGGCCTTTTTATACAGCACTGGGTTGGAGACAGTGGATCCCTGATGTTCTTATACTGTATTTTCACAGAGGTTTTATCAGTAAAGCACCTCTTGCCCATAGGATCACTTTGGTGTCTAAGGCTGCAATCCTAAGAACACTTACCTGGGAGTAAGCGCCACTGACTAAAATGGACTTAGAGAGAATGCACAAATCTGTCTGGCACTGCATTAGGATCACTGGTCTGTCAAGGGCAGTACTGTCTTCTCAAGACAGGCAGTGACTCTTCAAAGTCTCAGGTGGAGCTCTTTCCCATCACCTTCCACCACATGCCTTTAGCTGGAGTTGCTGGAGATTGAACCTGAGACCTTCTGCATGCCAAACAGCTGCTCTAGCAGTGAACTACAGCCCCTCTCCACAAACTTACTTCTGAGCAAACATGCATAGGTTTGTACTGCCAGTGACAAAGGTATCATGATGGTTCTAAAGACAGAAAACTCATCCTTCAATATGTGGATGTTGGAACAATCACTACAATCATAAGGATCTCTCACAGAGCGTTACATTATTTACGTCTCCAGAGGTAACAGAAATGCCATCGTTAACACTACTTTGGCGTTGTCCTTACGGATATAACTGCAATGAGTTGCAAGAGCTCGCATTTATGGAAGAGGGTTAGAGCAGAAACAATGCAGTAAAAGCTCCAATAGAACAGTTTATTTATTATGAGTGTTGGTTATGAACCTGGAACAGCAACCCATGCAGTATAAGAACAAAAGTTGTGTACCTGGGACATGTGGGAGTGGGAAAGGAATCAAGATTTTGCACAAGCTCTCCTCCTCCTGAGAGGCAATGCCACTCACGAGTGCAACACCAGAAAGGTTGAGGAGGGGCACAGAGCCTCAGCCGCTTTGCTCTCTTCCCCTGATCCTGTACACCTAGAAACAGGCTTATCTTGCTGATAGCCACAGGGGGCAGGGTGGGCATGGTGTGCACCTAACCTTGTACTAGAAACAGGCTTATCTTGCTGATAGCCACAGTCACCTATCTGAGAGGGGGCAGGGTGGGTATGGTGTGCACCTAACCTTGTACTGAGCTTGAAGATCCATGGAACAGGATAACTCCAAGATTTCCATGGGGGGGGGGGTTCTTTCATCAACCATTCATCAGCACTAAGCTAACATATAAAAGACTAATGCAAATTTCAAGTTAAGGTAATAAACCAATTTTACGTCATTCACTTTAGGAATAATCAGTCCTAATGTACTTATTTGCCTAAGCAACAGTAATAAAATAGACAACATATTTCTTGGCTCAGCATTGTAGAAGCAGAGGTGATTTATTTATTGATGTTCAGGTGAGGGCTGGATGTGAGTTCCCTCTAAGTGAAATTTGTAGGGACCCCAAGTTATGTTTTTTACACATGTTGGTCTTCATTATTGCCTCTTGGAATTAGTTTGAGAACAAGATTGTTTAGCTTAGCTTAATTTTGACTGCTCTGTAATTCCCTGCTCTGGGATTTTTATGTATCTTTGTGGCAAATTTTAATTACAGTAAGCTGATTTGAGAGCCAATTTTGGCTTAAAAGCAGCATACAAATATAATAAATACACGTTAAAGATTTTCTCAGGCACTTGGCCAGAGGGCAGTTATTAGCATATAAGTAATTATTTTCCTGTTTATTTGTGTGGCAACCTAAGTCAGTGGCAAGCTACCATGTTCTACGGTCTACCAAATCATAAGCAGCACTAGTATCATTCTTTTCTTGGAACATCATGTAGTCATTCAGATACATCAAATCTAACCACAAGAAAGGAGTACATGAACATTTCTTCCTCAAGTTCTGCTTATACAGTGTTGGATGCTATGGACATTCCACTGATGGAAGAGGGACGATCATGCCCCATTCTTTTCTTGACTCCAGCCTCCCAACCCACATCACTTTTTGACTGCAAGGCCCCCATCCTCACAGGGGTCATATGGGGCTACTGAGCGAAGGGGAAAGCGTGGAAAGGTCCACTTCTGCCAGGGTAATGTCTGCAGGAGCCACCCTACAGCTTCGGCTTGGCTATTATTTCCATTGTGCTGTTCCAGATGGCCTTACCATTAAACTGGGCTGAAATTCACACTTGCAAAGAAATAAATTACACACGCATGATAAATATTTGCCAAGGAAAATCAGTTATGTACAAGTGCATACTTGACCAATGTAAAAATGAAGCAAGCAATAAAAGTGAGAGGGGAATATCTCTGTCTTAATTTCTGTAGACAGGATGCTGAATGTCTCCTCTTTAAACTCGTAGAAGAAAGGAATGTAACCTATGAATGACTGTACCAAAATGTCAACAGGTCAGGTATTCTGTTTTCCTTACAGCTTCCTGCTCTTTGATTTTTCCAGTTTGAAAATGGTAGACCCAACATCAGTCAGTTTGTATATATATGTTCCTTAATCAACTGCAACTTCAGCATTTTCCACTGCGCAATACAGCAAACCCTTCCATTGTAGAATTAATTGAGTCTCTTAGTTGTAATAAACACCTTTACTGCATCTGAAAGCAGGGTGTAAGGAGATCAGTACTGCAAATTATTTTTAAAAGGGTATTTTTGATTACCTGAAGTGGGCTACCTGATGATCTATTTCTATGCAAAGCAAATAATTTATGGGCATTCTCCTCTTCTTCTGACGGAGGCATCTTTAAACCAGAACTGGTAAGCAGATTCTGAAGACAAACACCAATAGTGGTCATTAGAAAAGATGAATTAATTAGTGAACAAATACACTGAATGATGTTTTTAAAAAAGGTACCATGCACAGTTGCATTAAAAGATTAATACTGCTGTTTGCACAATTATCTGGAAGGAGGTTCCAAATAGGATTATCTTACGTATAAATCTGGAGTATGAAGTAGCAAGCAATTTGAGTTCAGGTTCAGTAAGCAGTCCTTTGACTAACACTCAGCCAAATTTGGGGATTGGCAGGATTGCGAACATTTCTCCCTCCTTGGAATACTCTTTATTTCCCCCCTCCTTCCACGTTTTTTTCAGGGTGGGGAGAGGCTGAAAAAAGAGCCCATAGTATTTGTGACTCAACAGTGGTTACCACATAATCTCTAACTGGCCAAGGTCATAGTTCCAGGACCAAGAAAAGGCAGTGAAGGGTAAAAATGGCATTTGAACAGTCACTGAGCAGGGCTGCAAATACCTGTGGACATGCTGGAAAAGAGTAAGCATTTGGAAGTTTTTCGGGGAAACTTTCAAGCACCTCACAGCCCTGTATTTTTCATTAAAAATATCTGCTGAGGAATATTTACCACAGCACTATATGTATATACTTGCTTGGGAGTAAAACCTTTTGAACTTGGTCAAACTTACTTCTGATTAACCATGCACAGGATGGTTAACCATGTCAGGTACCACAATGAAAAGTTTCAGCATTATTGATTAAATATAAGCTTCAACCTAAGCAGCTTATTGAACTGAAAATAATCATGCAGCCACATATACTACACTGGGACTGACAACCCTTGGATAACAAAACTTACAGTCCAACAAAACTAAAACTCATATACACATAGACTGAACTTAGATCAAGAAAGTGACATACCAGTAAACTAACCTAAATGCAGACTAAAACAGTGTACATTACATTGTATTGTCATGTACATTAAAAAGTAGACTATGCACTTTACAAAGGGTAGCAAACCTCTCACTGCCTATTATTTCCACTGACTTTAGCAAACCCTATAGTGATCCAATTAAGGCCAGAATTTTGCTCCAGCACCTTAAATTCATCTTAAGTATGGTACTTTTATGTACAAAATATGAAGAAGAAATGATGGATAAGGGGGGAAACCTAGGCACAATCCAGTCACTGTTAAGTACTTTCTAATTCCCATGATTCAGTGGGACAGTTGCATACATATGTCATCAATGAGATTTCCATGTACCAAACTGCAGCCGAGTCAAGCCTTTTTATTTTCTTGCACTTCAGAAGAGCAGACAAGCAAGGTATAAACAAGAAGCTCCATCCAGCCTGCCAGTCTTTACTCTTGAAAAAACTGCACCCTTTTCTGTAGTCTGTATGGGCTGCAAGTTACCACATGGTAGCTGTCCAGTGGAAATGTCTTACTGAGCCAGATTTGGTGCCTGAGCTATTAACTTCCCTACTCCAATTCAGAATGTATAAGGCTTCCAGAAAACAAACCAACCCACCCCGAAGCAGCATCCACGACAGTAATACATACCGGTACATCTTCCACACCTGATGTATATGTGAAAAGCTGTGTATTCAGACCTTCCCCTTCCCAACGGTTTGAGCAGAAGACGTTTCCAGCTTTGCCTGTTGGCGACTCCACCTGGAAGCAGAAAGAGAGCCATATTTTAAATCGCAACAACCGACTTTCCCATGTCAACGTTAACAGCAAACATATTTCCAAATGAGATCGGGCTACACTTTAAATTAGATGTACTTGTTCTAATAGTCAATCTGTGTACAATATAACATTGCATTCATGGATATGATGTTGACCATTTCACTCAGTCTTCTTAGAAGTCTAGATGGAAAATACTATTTCATACTAGGTATCAATTAAAATTATTGCATGGAACCACCTTGAGTAATCAGATTGTTAAGGCTTCATGTGTTAACCTCCTTGTTTCTGAGAAATCCCATCGAAGACAACAGGGCCAATTACACATAAGCCTTTTAAATACTGTATCCTATAGGGTAGTTTTCAATAACAATATAGAGATGTTTTCAATAACTGGTTCATATTGTGGGGAAAACTTTATCTTTGTTGTATTACAATTCTACAAAGGCTACCAGCTAATTTTAATAAGCGAGATCTCATTTGACTTCAACAGAAACAAATTAGGAACTAATGTTACTGATTACTGCAAAAACAAGAAAAAAAAGGAAAACTAGAGCTGTTTCAGACCAATGGTCCATTCAGCTTACTATCCTGTTTCTTATACTACCATGCATGGATGGTTCCTGCAACATTTCAGAGGAGTAAATGGCTGCTCCGATCATTTCTGTTTTCTCCCAACCCTCTAAAGTTTTCAAATGCTTTGAATATGCCAAGTCAGTTTCTGGCCATCTTGACAAATAGTCATTGGTATTCCTATTCTTAATTAATACAGCAAGTTCTTTTTCTGAATTAAGTTTCTCATATTAGTTGGGGGTTTTTTTGTAGCAGCAAGTAAACTGCAGACCTTTTGTGGCAAACAGAACTAAGTATAACATGGGCTTTAGCAAAAGATGATTTGACTTGCCTCCTGCTTAATTTTCTTCAGCAAAGGGGATCCACTTTCACGTAGGCCAGAGACAATGCCTGATTCATCAGACTCTTGTTTGATAACATCCTGCAGGTCATCTACAAGATGACTTGGAGTTGGAGGCTACATGGAAGAAACAACCACATAGTAAGGCAACATACAGCATCTTCATGGGAATCCTATTCACATCACTGGCATTTTAAGAAAACGTACCAGCATCTTTAAGGGTCCATATTTGAATTCTTGAGCTGCAAGTGCATTTTTAAATGGAGTGGGTGTTCTTGGAGAACTCTCCAATATTGATCTTTTGATAGCTGGAGTTCTGAAACTGAAACCACAATGTGAACGTAAGGGGAGAAAAAGGGGAAATTACAGAGAACGGTCTAAATCTCTTTACTGTGACCCTAATGCAGATTACCATAGTAATAAAGAGAAGGAGCTGCCTGCCAGAAAGTCCCAAGTTCCAATTTCACCTCAGCCACAGTCTCACTGGGCCATCTCACGTGAGTCATTTTCTCTCAGTTTGAATATGGCGATGAGAATACCTTACAGTGGGTGTTGTGCAGACTACTGTAATAATGTATATGAAGCACTTTTGGCACTAAGGAAAGATGTCATATAAATACCGTTATTCACATTATTTTTAAAGCCAAGCTTAAAATGGTATGTTCAACTCACATTAAAAATATGTATCTCTTTTGTGAAGAAAGTACATACTGAATTTATTTATTTATGCCCCAATGGGGACTCAACGTGGCTTTACAACATCATTCTCACCCTTCCATTTTATCCTCATTGCAGCAGCCCCATGAGGTAGGCTAGGCTGAGACACTGGTTAAATTCACCAAGAGGGCTTTCTAGTCCAACATCCTAATGACTACATCGTGCTGGCTTATTTTGCATATGTGAAATAATCTCATCTTGAAGCATATTTCTTTTCTTACATTCCAGATGTTTCCACAACAAAGAGGACAAAAATCATTCTAAAGCACAATATAAATAACTGGACAAAGCTGAACAGACAAAATGTTTGGAAATCTGATCATGTAAACTGGAGTGTTGTTTGCAATGGGTTGCAATGATTCAGGTGTTAATGCAGATGTAGAGTGAATATGCATAGCTGTGAAACTTTGGTTTGTACAAAGAAGTAATAGTAATAAGATACAGCTCTAAGCAGAAGTCCTGAAGCCTTGCCTGAGCAAAAGCCAAGAGCTAGAGTGATGTGGTGATAGAGGGCCGGACCATGAACAACAGCTCAAATCCCATTGGTTCTGCCATTCAGAAGCTGCATCATCTTGGTCAATCACACTCTCACCCTAACCTACTTGACAGGGTGATTGTTGTGAGGACAAAATGGGCTCCTTGGAGGAAAGATGGGACAAAGTACACTAAATAGACACGATACAGTGATAAAAGTTCCTTTGCACAGATGGTTTCCTTATTAATTTAAATGAAAGGAGCAGTTCCAAGTGCACATAGAAAGGAATGGTTATAGCTGCCCTCTCAGTGAAGTATATGGGGAAGCCCACTCCCCACCCCCCCATGGAAAATAGGCAGAATCCATGCCATTAATTGCTGTGGTAATACGGCTGTTGTGAGCATTTTAAAAGGTAAAGAAAACTTACATGTTATTTTCCTTCTGTGCCTTAAATGCTTGGTCTCTGTAAAGTGGTGTCGTAACTGTGACTTTATGAGTACAAAGCGGAGTGGAAGTTAGAGTGGGATTGGCTAAGTCTAGACTTTCTTGGCTGGATGAGGTGTTCAAAAACTGCAAAGAAAAACAACAACAATGTAAGGTACAAATTTGGCTTCTCAAAACTATCTTGTTCAGCAAAACAAGAAATTGGAGAAAAATAACTGCTAAACAAATGAACAGGAGTGCTTCTACTCTACTGATTCAGGGTGTATTAGTGTGCATCATTACTAGTGTCAGATTATGTGGTAAAAGGATTACACAAGAAACTACTCCCAATGCAAAGGTTTGTATTTCTACAGCTTAGTTTATGAAAATATATTTCTTTAGTTTTGTTCCAAGATTATTTATAGAAACAAAGATTTATTTTATTCCACTGAATGTCAATGGAAATTTACCTATAAAAGGATGGCTCATAATATGAAAGAAAAAATCTTGGAATTTGCCCATGAAAGAGCACTGAATTCTGGGGCATGGAAAAGACAATTAGATACTTTAAGGGGGGGGGGAGAGAATATGAACACTCCTTTTTCCCTGTGGAAACAGATTGCTTCACTTTCACAGTACAGGTCCTAAAAGTTTTTTTAATGCTGAAGTTCAGTTTGTTAAGAAGTCTGGTGTGGCAGAATTTAGGAAATAGCTTTTCAGTGGCTGGAGTGATGAACTCACTAATGTAATACCCTATTTCAAACTGGCTACATGTGCAAGGTAGAAACTCACACACCACTTGCTCCCATCTCTGCTTAGTCTCACTGACTTTGCTGAGGTAGGCTAACTCATCTGTAGAAACACACCACACCTCTCCTTCTATCCAAAATAGCATATATAATGCTTAGTAATTTAATAAACAATAATGCACCATTGATTTCCCCCCAATCCATTTACAGGGCAATTTGGATAGTATTTGTCATCTGTTTAGTCTGAGTTTTGTGGGGAGTCAGTGACCCATACTGTGAAAGGGATACAATATAAAACAGTTAAAGGAAACTGAGATGATGGTAAATTCTATTAGCTGGAAGAATTAAAACCAGAAGGTAAGCAAGTGAATAAGCAGCCCCTTCTATAGCACCAAGAATTCAACACACAGAGAAAAGCAAATTGTCAGTTAGAAGCTGCTAACCTAGACTAATCAGTGAAGGAGAGCAATGAGTAGATTCAAAATTGGAGCACAATCAGTGAATGTAAAAGTAATTAGTCATTTGTTCAAAGATTAGTTTGTCTACGTCATTAACACTTTGCTGACTTTTGAGAATTAGTAACATCTGTGTAGAAATCTTGCTCTACCTGCGAGGGAGAGAATGGCAGGCTTTTGACAGGGGAACGCTTAGGAGTTGAACTGGTGACATCAGCAAATAGGAAGGACTTATTAGGGCCACTGGCTAAGTGGCTGGGCTGCAGCCTTTTGGTGCGCAGAATGACCAACGGAGCTGTGCCGCATTGTGAGGCAGTCAAAGACTTTGGCAAGCCAAGCCACTCCTGACTCAACATGGTTTTGCTCCAGTTTGAGAGAGGCTGTCCTTCAGGCCTACATGCACTGGCCTCTGTTTGCTGAAGCTGTGGGGCTTTGCCTGAGGGAACTCGGCCAGGCGAAGTGTCTGTTTCTTCAGAGAATTCAAAACTGCTGAGATCACCCCATGATGAAGGATCCTGAAAACAATTGGCGGGAGGCACGAAACTATGAGACAGTATACAAAGCTCCTTCATTTAACACCCCCCTCCCCAAAAAACCAGCAATGTAACATTTTTAATAAAAGGGAATCAAAAGTGAAGGGGGAAAAGGTTGTACTGCATGTGATTCAGTTTGACACAGTTCTGATGCTTTCCTAAATGTGGAAATGCAATGAATCCAGATTAATGGTGGGTTCCTTAAAGGAACTACTCTTTTTTTCTCAAATATATATGGCAAGAGCTCCCCTCCCACTTTTGTTTGACCCATCTGCTTTCATACCGCTATGATTCTTGTGAAAAGGGATATATCAATGTTTATAGTGAATTTGTTTATAGTAAGCCTTTGGCTTCAAACGGTATGCTTAAGGAACCCTATATTAATGTTAAGTTCCTACATGAGGAACTTAGAATGTTCAAATATCCCCTGTGGCCTTTTGAAGTTTTCCAGAAGTGAATGTTTCACAAAGAAGCAGAAAACTGGATAGTAATACAAGGTTTACCAAGCGATAAGGAAGGGAACTAAAAATAAATTTGATGCCATCAAATAAAAACAACTCACAATTTGGCTTCACATTTAAAACCCCATTTACAAACACTTAAGAGCTTTTTAGATTAGATTTTATGTATTCCAGCTCCCTACATCATTTATTAAAATATTTCTATCTTGCCTCTCTCTGGGGATGCAGGGCGGCTAACAGAGGGCAGAAAAGTACATTAAAATCACAAATACATAACTAACCAAAAAACAGAATAGGAATTATTTAACATTACTTGTCTTTGAATTTTTAGCATATGAGCAAAATGGTTGAGTGAGCAACTCAGCATGCCTGGACATTGGGGGGAGGGGTGCTACATCACTCTAAGAGTGTACAGATGTGATCTCCTTGAATGGGATGCCTCTTTGTCTTAATCTAGGAGCTGTCCTCTGACCCCTCCTCTCTCTCACTTTGTCCTCTCTCTCTCTCTGCACATGGCCTTCCATGGAGACATATGTCTCTGCAAGTCTCTCTTGTAGATAACAATGCCCTCATACTCCCATATGCATGATGGTGGATTAGCGTCTTTTGACTGCAACCTGAATGATAAATGAGTCCACCTGAATAAATGTAATTTTACCTTTTTTGAAATATACTTTTTTGGGAAAGTTATTTACTGCACTCAGTATCACGCTTCTATGACTGGGCAAAACTGCTATATTAACTAAATATCCCAATAGGGTTATGGGTGCCCAGAGTGAATTTTAAAGTTTAAAAGAATTTTTCTTATTTGTTTGTTTTTCTCTCGTTTGAGCTTCACCACCTGCTGGCAAGAACAAAAGATGCCTGGAATTGGCTTAACAACTGGTCCCAAGAACTGAGTGCAGAAAGAATTTTTCTCTCTCACTCTTCCTTTTGAATTGCTAAACCAGCGAACACTGATATGCAATCCTAGAGAAATTTAACAGAGATAATTTCAAATGTGTGGCTTTTTTGAATTAAGCACCAGCTCAAGGAGGAAAAAGCTAAATTTGCTTTACGACCTTCAGTGCCTAAAAAGGAGATCATAAGATCGAAGAATGCAGATGGTAAAGCACAACATTTAATTATTAGTACATTGACTAACTCCCATTGGTGTACATAAAAGGACAAGAAACTGCAAAATGGATGATTGAAGCCTTAAGAAAGATCTATGGAGAGCAAGACCAGGCTAGCAAGATTTCTTTGTTTAGAGAACTTTTCTCAATTAGGCTACAAGAAAGTGGAAACACAGAGATCTATATAGAAATGTTACTAAATCTAATTGACAAGCTTCCAATTGCTGGTAAAGTGCTAGATAAGGAGTTACAAATTGGACTGTTTGTAAATTCCCTACCTCAATCTTATTCTGCATTCATTTTAACATTTAATGGGAAAGATTCTACGGTGGAGGATGCTCTGGGGCTGATAAGAGCTGAGTACCATAAATAAAGGGGCTATCACGAGCAGCACAAAAGCAAGGATGACTCAAGCTACATGGTCCGAGAGGCCAGGTCAAGAGGGGCAGGAACTAAGCAAACTGACCACAGAAAGCCCAACCCCAAACAGAAAAGAAATGTCCCTCACTGCTTCAATTGTAACAAGCCAGGTCATATCCAGAAGGCGTGCTTGCTCAATAGGAGTGAAAATGCCTGAACCAGCAAGCAAACTCACACTCAAACACAGAGACAGAAGGGTTTCTCCTAAAGAAAGCGATTTAATTATTGCATATCTCACAGCGCGAACAAATTAAAATCACAAGCCTTGGCTAATTGATAGTGGTGGTTTCATACATATGACATCAGATATTAATTTGTTTGATGAACTGGACACAAATGCTCCTGGAAAGGTGCACCTAGCCAATGGAGATTAAGTAGACATACAAGGAAAAGGAAAAGGAAATGTTACACTAAATTGCCACATAAATGATGCTGGACCTGAAATTACTGCAGATGATGTTTTATACATTCCCAATTTAAAGACAAATTTGCTAACTGTGTCCACACTCTCAGAAAAAGGATGTGCCACAGAATAACGTATGTACTGTCCTGCGCCAAGGTGAACTATATTCCACAGGTACTCTCAGAAACTGAGTCTTCGGGCTGGATCGCCAGCAACCAAAGGCCTGTATAGCCAAGACTACTGCTGACCAGAGGTCCCAGTAGCTTTGGCACAGGAGATTTGCTCTTTGTGACCCAGAAACCATCTTGAAACTACAAACAAAGGTCTTGGTAACAGGTTTCAATATAACTGAGTGTGCCAATGATAATCAATTGTGTGTAAAGGCAACTTGGCCTTGTATTCCAAAACAATTTCAGGGATGCTCTAAGCAACCACTTGAGCTAATTCACACTGACCTATGTGGGCCTATCAAACCAGCATCAACTGGAAATAACCCTTATCCATTACCTTTTATGTGACCCAGAAACCATCTTGAAACTACAAACAAAGGTCTTGGTAACAGGTTTCAATATAACTGAGTGTGCCAATGATAATCAATTGTGTGTAAAGGCAACTTGGCCTTGTATTCCAAAACAATTTCAGGGATGCTCTAAGCAACCACTTGAGCTAATTCACACTGACCTATGTGGGCCTATCAAACCAGCATCAACTGGAAATAACCCTTATCCATTACCTTTTATTGATTTTTCAAGATATACTGTGTGTTATTTGCTGAAGGAAAAATCACAAACTGAGCAGAAGCTGAGAGACTACACTGCCATGGTTTCTAACAAGTTCAACAAGAAACCCCAAGCCATCCAGTGGGACCATGGTGGTGAGTGCATGTCGAGATCGATGCAGACAGTTCTAAGGGAGCATGGGATCCAGCACAGACGTACTGTAGCCCACACACCAGAACAGAATGGGGTCACTAAGTGCAAGAATTGCTCTATAATGGACATGCCATGGTCAGATGCATGCTAATTGACTTAGGCCTTTCCTACAAGTACTGGGGAGAAGCTGCAATGACTGACAGTTTACCTGCTAAACAGACTGCCAACCAAAGCCACAGAGAAACTCCTTATGAATTATGGCATAACAGAAAGCCAAGTAAAGAACACATTAGAGCCTATGCCCACATACCAAAAGAAAAGAGATCCAAACTAGAACCAGAGCCAAAGAAGGCATCTTTGTTGGCTATTTTCCTGAGAGCAAGGGATACACAATTTTAGATCCAGACACTAACCAAATTACTACAAGCAGAGTGGTGCAGTTTGATGAGCAACCAAGGAACAACCAGATTGCTGTGATAGATGACTGTCCAGAGGGAGATGACAACAAACACCAGCTGCTGGAGTATTGCCCAGAGCCAACAGATGCAGTCACTACACAGGCACAACCAGATGCTCAACCAGAAGAAGAGGTGAAGGCAGAAGTTCCTGAATCAGCAGGTGAGCCAGAGGAGCCGGAGACTCCTGTGGAGGCTGATGAGACCCTGGACTTCGGACACTCATTGCAGCCCAACAAGGGAGTTCCACCTATTTCGCACAGGCATTGCTACCACATGAACCTATATCATGGGCTGAATTACAGCACATGCCTGAACCAAAAGTAAGCAAATGGAGAGGAAAGCAGCACAAGAAGAAATGGACACACTGCATAAGAACAACATGTGGACTCTCACTGAACTACCTAAGGGTAAGAATGCTATTGGGTGTCAGTGGGTCTTTAAAGCTAAGCAGGATGCAAACAGTGAGACTGAGAGATATGAAGCCAGACTAGTGGTAAAGGGATTCTCGTAAATTTATGGATCAGAATATGACTAAACTTTTGCACCAGTTGTAAAATATTTCCCAATTAGGTTGCTCCTAAGCATTGCAGCTCCCAGAAACTTGCAAACAGAACACTTAGACATTAAGACTGCCTTTTTACATGGTGAAATAGAGGAAGAATTATACATGAAACAGCCACCAGGGTTTACAGATGAAAAGAATAAACATCTAGTCTGTAAACTTCCAAAGGGGCTTTATGGACTTAAACAAGCTGCGAAAGCGTGGTCGGATAAGCTGACCAAGATGCTACTCAATCGGCAAAGGTAAAGCTGACCCCTGTCGTTACAGTAGACACAAAGATGGAAAATGGACATTTATTCTGATCTATGTTGATTATTCGCCATGAAAATTAAAATGACTGTGGTGAGATTATATCCCAACTAAACAAGGAAGTAGAAGTCAAACACCTAGGTCAGTGGTGGCGAACCTATGGCACGGGTGCCAGAGGTGGCACTCAAAGCCCTCTCTGTGGGCACACGTGCCATCGCCCCAGCCAGGCCCAGACCATCATTAAAGTGTCGAATTCTCTGCCAAATAATTTTAAGTAAATGAAAGCATTTGGGATTGCTTTCCTTACTTTATTTGGATCATCTTAAGTTAATGTATGAGTTGTTTTTTCTAAAGTAAAACCTCAGTATTCAGGTTACATTGCCGTGTTGGCACTTTGCCATAAATAAGTGGGTTTTGGGTCGCAGTTTGGGCACTCGGTCTCTAAAAGGTTCGCCATCACTGACCTAGGCAATGCTAACTTTTACTTGGGAATTCAGATTGAATGAGAACCAGATGGAAGTTATCTTCTTTGTCAAAAGCAGAAGATACTGGAACTATTACAAAGCCTGGGCCTGGAAGGTGTTAATCCAATGCCCACACCAATGGAATTGGGCTTCTACAAAGAAAAGGTTCCCGATGAACCACCACCAGACAACAATAACTACAGAGCTACCATAGGCAAGCTTCTATACTTAGCGATGACAACAAGACCTGACATTGCAATGGCTGTAAGTATATTATCCAGAAGAGTTAGCACACCCAACAGAAAGGACTGGACTGCTTGATTGAACTGAGACTGCCAGCAACCAATAATCCCGCACTATTGGGGTATGCTGATGCAGACTGGGCTCAAGAAAGATCAGACCTAAGATCCACTAGCAGTTATGTAGTTTTCTGAGGGGTCGATGCTATAAATTGGGCACGTCGTAAACAAGAAATTGTTGCCCACTCATCTGCTGAAGCAGAATTTGTATCCACTTCTGAAGTGTGCCCGAGAATTAGAGTGCCTTATAATGTTACTGGAGGATTTCGGTATTAATGAAACCTTTGCCAGTTCAACTGCTAGAGGATAACCAGAGTTGTATAGCCCTCTCTCTTTGAGAAAGGAAAAGTGTGCGGACAAAACACATTGGAATTAGGAACTGGTATGTAAGGGAAACAGCCTGCAGGGACAAGGAGTTGTCAAGCTACACTACTGGCCCACTGAGAAAATAACTGCTACCAAGAGACAAATACCAAGGCCCGTGGAATAACTTGAACATTATGAACCTCAACAGCATACAGAGTCAAGAGGGACTGTTGGAGTGAACGACTCAGTGTGCTTAGACATTGGGGAGGCGCTACATCACTCTCAGTGTGTATCTCCTTGAATGGGATGCCTCTCTTTGTCTTAACCTGAGAGCTGCCCTCTGACCCCTCTTCTCTCTCGCTTTGTCCTCTCACTCCCATCTCACACGGCCTTCCATGGAGACACATGTCCCTGCAGGTCTCTCCTGCAGATACAATTGCCCTCATACTCCCACACACATGATGCCGGAGAGGCTGGCCATTTCTGATAGGGAAAGCACTCTTTAGATTAGGCTTCTGTCTCTTCTTTTGGCTGCAGCCTGAATGTGAACTGGATCTACTTGAATAAATGTACGTTTACCTTTTTTGCAATACACTTCTTGGGAGATTTATTTACTGCACTCAGTATCATGCTTCTGTGAGTGGGCAAAACTCTCCTATGTTAACCAAATATCCCAATACAAAATAATAGTTATTTCAAGAGAGCAGTTTTATTTGTGCTTGATAAACCTGAGAGCCCCCAAACTGCTTAAACTAAACTAAAAGCCCAATCCTTGCCATGTTCACATTTATTTCCACAGGACTTACTTCCAAGTAATCATACACAGAACTGGGCTAGAAGTGTTTTGTAACTGCAGTAAAAAAAACCCCTACACCTAGTAATTGTACAGCAAAGGCAAAAGCCATTGCCTATACAAAAGGACCATATAAAAGACAAGAAATAGACAAAGAATCAGCGTGCATCTCCAGGCCTATGCGAGCCACACATTAGAAGATGACCATTCTACTTACGGAATCTATTAACTGAAGTGTTTCTGCAAATTCTAAGAGATTCTTAACATTATCCAAGAAGTTACTCTGGTGGACGATCATGCACCGTGCAGGGGAGGCACTTTCTTCAGGCAAGCAGCCATCGTCCACAGGTGGAGATGGAGTGCAATGATGATGCTCCCCCAAAGAGGAAATGGGTGCACTGTTACCACTACTTCTGGTATTGTCCACAATTGCGGTGCTGTGCCACCCTGGGTAATCTGATGTGTGGTTCTGTGTCTAAAGGAAGGGGGGAAATGGGGAAGAGGAGGGAGGGAGAGAAAGAGGCAGAAGGAACTTAGCAGTGAAATTGCACAAGGTGTCAGATGGCTGTTGAAGGGAAAGATAAAAGTGGTTGCATCATCTAAGCATTTAATGCCTATGAAACAGTTGTCAAGATGTTTCCTTTCATCAGTGCAGCAAGAGCTTGTTTGAAAGGGGAGTAAATTTATAGCTCTACTTTTGGCATTACCTCATCTTGTGCAACAAACCCTGCACTCTGGGCATGTATCTACAGTCTAATAAGTATACTACTATGGTCATATGTTGCTCCTCCTAACTCCATAAAATGCCCGAAACTATTTTCTTTTCTGTAAGGAGCTGCCAAGATTCCTCTCGTTCAGACTGAACCTCATCCACCACGTCCAAAAGCTTTAGGAGTTTAAAGGAGGTGAAATCGACAACACATCTGAGGTCACTGGCAAAATTTTCCATTGATTTTCATGGATCTGGATTTTACCCAGAGTTGCTTTTTATTTTTACACCTCACCTAGTCTCCCTTCTGTCCCTGTCTCACACTACAGCTTACACCAATGCAATGAAAAGGCTGTCAAATCAACGTGGTTAGGAAAGCAGAAGAGCAAATTAACAGAAGTGTCTTTCCAGTGTAACCATGCAAGAGAAGAAATTGCAAAATACAAACTACAAGTTAGATGGGGCCAGACTAGCATATCATGCACAAGTCACCGTACAGTTAACTGGAAATAAATTAATAATTAATCTGAATTAATTATTCATACAAAGTTTCTGCTGGCTATCACTTGTCATTTTTCTGCGTTTCCTATATTAATTTATTTTGTCGTCTGCTTTGCTATTATCTCCACAACCTACGCACTGAAAATAAGTAATTAAACAAGTACGTATACAGGATTCAGTAATAGCCAGCACTGGTCTCATACATGCAGTTAAAAAAAAATCTATTTTCTTCACAGTCAAACGTTACCGAACATGCAGATCTTGACAATACTTGGGCTGTGATTCTCAAACTACCTGAGCTAGAATACTGGTTTCTTCCTGAGCCAACCAAACTTTACGTGAGTCCAATCTGCAGCACAAATGCCAGAAGTAGATTGTGGTCTTCTAGGAAGAGGCAGGAAAGTCCCTAAGGCTATGACAGAGTCAGGCCTGCCTGCATGCCCGTCTCTCCTATTCTGTTCAGCATGGCAGACTACAGACAGAACCACTTGAAGGTTGGGATGGGGGAGGGGCGCAGGGCGGGACATGAGCTGTAGTCACCATCAGAGGAAGTACTGCCTCATCCACTGAGATTTACTTGTGGCAAACTTGCTAAAAAAGACTGACCACCCTAAACTAGACTGAAGTCAGGAGTTTGAGGATCACAGGTCAAGGGCATACTATACAGCTGAAGATAAAGAATACAGCAGAGAAGAAAAATCTGAAGAACAGGCCCTACATTTTCATTACTCAGTATTCTCAGAGGCACAGATTTCTCCTCCCAGTTTAAAGGCTAGTGGAGGGAGCTATACTGGTTGCCACTCCTCTGAAAACGTAAACCAGTGCAGTGGCCACCACTGCTGTCAATTAGTATACGAAAGCAAATATGCCAGAAATTATGCACTAGTGTATTTTCGAGGGGGGGGGGAGTGCAGAGAATGCATACAAGAGTTGCTGTTACGTTTTCATTCTGTTCAAATGGAAATATAGAGCCTTGATTAGTGTCTGAAGAATAGCAAGAGGGAAAAAAATGTAAGAAAGAGAAGCACTGGGGTAAAGCTGCTATCCCTCCATCCAAGCACATGGGGACATTCTTACTGGTAATGCCTGCTGCCCTTTCAGTTCATTCTCAGTCGACATTAGTAGCAACTCTAATTCCTTTATTCGCTTTTCTTTCTCAGGGTCTTCATCATTATAGTGTCTCTGCAATTAAGAGTTAAGGGAAAAGACAAGATAAAGGCCCGGTTGAATGTTGCAACTATGACAACGACGATGGCTTGTCATCTTGCGGAATCGCAGCCAAACTAGCCTGAGAAGTAAAGAAGTCGTCTTCCACTGTAGTCTCCACAGGACACAAAAAACCCTGAATCATCTGTGGAATGTTTTGCACAGACATTTAAAAGGAAAATGTGAAGCCTGATGACAGCTAATGTGCTCAGTCTGCCTCACCATATTTAGTTTGAAGGAGTCAGAATTCCTTCCCCAGCCCCATTTTGTTTTTTTGCTGGTACACACATAACACTGGCTCCACTCTTGCCTATGACACATGAGGAACGTGTGTTTCTTTCTACTTCCCTGGGGAAAAAACCCTCCCTTAACTACAGTTCATCTTCACAAATGTTAACCGTGGTTAAAGCCAAGCAAAACCATCCTGATTCAAGGAAAACCCCAGTATAGCCTTAACTGTTGCTAACAGTGAGAAGTTTAACTGCTTAATCCTGATTTATGAGAACCACAGTTAGCAGGAAGCCAACACTGTATCCACAACAGCCTCACTTCATCATTTGTCACATTAACGAGTTAAGCTTTTGACAATTTTTTGCAAGGTAAGACATTTGTATCTAACTTTCGTGTGAAATGTATACCAAATTGACTCTTGAAATTGATCTTTTAAACTTATCTACCTGAATAGCTGCAGCAGCTGGCTGGGGAACATTAACAATATTTACATGCAGTGCTACTGGATATGGGATATGAGCAGAGACCTAGACCAAAAAGCAAAGAAAGCCCAAATTAATTATGCTGTTCACATAATTTCCAATAGCATGGTTGGTTTAAACATCAAGCACAGTCTATGCTTTGCACACCAATCATTATCTTTCTTCAAAACAAATTAGGACCACGTTCTGAATGAAACAACTGAAGTAAGGCCCTTTAAGATGGGGCGTGTGTTACACTTATAACCTGCCCTCCCAGCTTCGGCCGGCTCAGGGCGGCTTACAACAGCATCAAAACAACAATAAATAGTGTCATAATCCTAAAACCATAACAATCATAACATTAAAAAGGTGCTAACAATAATCATTTAACAATTAAACAATTTAACATTACATCTGAGACGGCGCGCAGGTTTCCATGCCATCCTAGTGGTTGATCCCGATCGAATACTGTACGGGTGGCTCAGGCTGCTTTAAGACTTTGAGGGGACAGGGCACTCTCCCCCGGGGGTGGCTCCTAATTGAACGCCTGGCAGAACAGCTCCGTCTTACAGGCCCTGCGGAACTGTATAATTATAGTATCGTGAGCATGTATTTGTTTATAAAAAATCTGACCACATATATCAAAACCCGAGTGTTGGCTTGTGGTGCAAAGGAAACTAAGAAAGCAGGAAGCAGATCCATGGCATGATTTATAGTTCCCCAAGGGAACAACACCCCCCCCCAAAAAAATAGATGCTAGTGGCTCCTTGCATAGCCTAAAGCTTTATCAGGGTGGCACTGATTAGTCAGCATGCCTTTGGGGGGTTTTTTGGCCCTGTTGGGACAAAAACAAAAACTGTGCTGCCAGAAGTTCAGGGGAGGATTTGGGCATCCCCTGCAACTGAGCATTCCTTGTTATAAAGGCTTATCCCTTTGCCCAGGGCAATAAGGCATCATGGGGTGATAGCATAACCCAGAGACTAAGCTTGCCAGGCATTTCTTCTTCCATTTCTCTGAAAAGGCATGTAAGGATTCATCACTGTGTGTAAGGACAAGACATGTCTATCAATGGCTTCTAGCCACAATAGCTAAATGGAACCTCCCTACTTAGACACAGTAAGCTTCTGAATACCAGTTCCCGTCTGGAGTGGGGAGGGCAAACAAAAGGGCAGTTGGCTTTAGTTGTCAGTTCTCTAAAGTATCTAGCCGGCCACTGTGGGAAACAAAATGCGATCAACCTAATGAACTGTTCCTACCAGCTTACATTTTGCGTCTCAGAAATATGATAATAGGAGTAGTCACTGGTAGGTGTGGTCTGAGTGGCTGTCGGCAGCTGCACAGAAGGCGGAGTGGGAGTGTAGCCCACTAAATGGTTAGTCTTCGGGAAACTGGCAGCTACTGAAGGTTGGCTGGCTTTTGAGGACTCCTGAAGATAACCTTCTTGTTCAACTTTTCGACGCATTGTAGAATTCCAGTGGTTCTTGATAGCATTATCAGTTCTGCACAAGTAGACATGCATATAAAAATACTGTTAACCAAAAAAGATGGGTCAAGGCAGCAGATTAACACAAAACAGCTTCATAAACATTCAGCAGCATCTGATGCAATGTAATGGTCTTTATATCACAATGTGTCCTAATGAGATGTATCCTACCCAAGGTTGCAGGAAGTTTCTCTAGCCAAAGAAGCCTTCCTCTAGCCTAAGTGGCTCTTCCATTAGAAGAGAAGAAGAATAGGTTTTATACTCAGCTTTTCTCTACCTTAAGGAGTCTCAAAGCAGCTTACAATCGCCTTTCCTTCCTTTCCCTGCAACAGTCACCTTGTGCGGTAGGCCGGGCTGGCAGAGTTCTGAGAGAACCATGACTGGCCCAAGGTCACGGAATCAAACCCGGTCCTGTAGATTAGAGTCCAATGCTCATTAACCACTACACCACGCTGGCTCTCTTCCATTAGTGGAAGAACGAGTTAAGTGGAGGAAGTCTCCTTAGGCTGGAAAAGGGCTTTGAGCAAACTTTGCTCAGTGGAATGATAGGGTGCAGGTCAGTGATTTCACATGCCTCAACAAGCCCACAACAAACTGATTTTTGTCATTATCAGAATGTCTGCTCTGTATCAGCAGTCCCCTGTAATTAACTGGCAATAAACAAATTAAATTTTGACAAAGGCTTCCCTGCATTCCTGATTCCAGTCCTGAAGCCAACTCTCATTATTCTTCTTTCTCAATTTATCTCTACTTGGAGAAATGAATCCTTCCTGCTGTACCCCATATCCCTATGCTGTCGCACAGTATGTGCTCCAATTTCATAGTTGTTAGGTACACCAAGCCTTGTGAAAAATGTTGCCATTCCAAACTCTCCTGCATTCACACACGCATGAAGCTGCCTTATGCTGAATCAGGGTCAGTACTGTTTGCTCAGACTGGCATCAGCTCTCCAGGGGCTCAGGCTGAGGTCTTTCACATCCCCTACGGCCTGGTCCTTTTAACTGGAAAAGCTGGCAACTGAATTGGGACCTTCTGCATGCAGGCTCTTCCCCCGAACCACAGCCCCTCCCCAGTTCCACTATTGTGCAGACAATGCAAGATGGCCCTTCTCCAAGAAATTTTCTTAGCAACAACCCAGAACTGAAAACGGTCATCTAATCAGATTAATAGATAACATAGCTTTTCTGGGATTCAGGATGTGTGTGTGGTTACTGCAGGTTAATTGCAACTCATTCTGGGCTGCTGGCATCAACTCTTGACAACTGGGCAGTTTGTGGCCACTCTAGGACATCTATCTTCATGTCTAATCATGGTGAATCAATTCCTTTCTAAAGTATGGGAACAGACATACTAGAATAGTGCGAGCTGGATTTTTTCACCTGCAATGTGGTCATTCAGAGGGCTTCGAGTACTGTATTACTGCAGCATTAATTTAGGCTGCGACCATACGCACAATTAGACCCGCCATAGGTGCGAATGCCAGGCAGATTTAAAGGGCGTGATCAGACAACATCATCTGGGAAGTGCCCTGCAGCCGTCGGCAACCCGTTCTGCTCCGCCACAGAAGTGAAGTTAAAAGACACTGGGGAAAATCCAGTACTTAACAGGTTGTAATGGACCATGGGCGGACTTTCCCCTGTCTGATCGCTCCAGCGCGCTCTCATGGCGTTGGGATGATCTGATCAGGCCATCCCGACTCCTTGCCATAGGTTTCCCCCCCTTCTCAGTATGCGCATCATCACAAACTCCACAGGGAGCCCTCAGTGCGGAGATGCGATTCATCGATTCCTCGTTTAAGCGCATTGGAAACAAACAGCAAAAAAAACCCCCAACTCGACTTACTCGCGGTTGCGTCTGATCACACAGTGGTGGGCTGTGCCCGTAGCTTCCAAGTACTGTGTGATTGCGCAACTGTGGGTCAAATTCCTCCAGAGGAAACAGCCTCACTTCCCCTCCCCTTCATCTGGCACATGTGACCACAACCTTAGATGGTTATGTTACCATAGGTCATAAAGTATTTTTCTATTTATTACAGGGCTGCTTCATCCTTGTCTTCTGGAACACGGATTGTGTGGTGCTTGTGGGCATTTGCATAGAGGAGTTCAGTTAGTCTCATTTCCCACAAATACATATTACAATAAGATACGTTTCCTTCCTTTATAAAGACAGGTTGACACAATCACCAAGATTCCTTTCCTTTCTGCCCTTTAAAAAGGTGGAATCTTGTAGAGCTGCCACCATCACTTGCAATCACAAAGGGCGGGGAGAGGGGAGATCTCACTATGTGTCCATAAATAATAACAGCCAATCAGAGTTGTCAACTGACTACCAGTGTAGACAGGCTTTTTTCAATTTCTGTGAGCAGTTGTGAAAGGATTGTTGAATCCTGACCCTACTGAATCATTTGCCCTCTGTGACCTGACTATGTGGGCCATGTACAGACAATACAAACATATTTTTCTTAAACCTGATTTTAAAGTGTAGCTAATTGCTAAAGGTGAAGAACTGGTGGCCTAAAAGGGTATCCTGGGAATTTGCTCAGCCTTAAGTAATCTCAGATTGTTTGCCTGGTCCTTTAGAGAGAAGACCTAGTAACTTCCTTAAGCTGCTTCTTCCATTATCCAGACAGAAACATTTCCTTAAGACACTCTAACTTCAAATGAGATCACAAAATAATGCAAACACTTTAACCTATCTGATTTGGCCATGAATCCATTCACATACATTAATTAATCAGTAGCAACATTTGACTTTTAATGCACATTTTCTTTGCTAAGCTAAAGGAGACAAAAGAAACAGCATTGCCACTCCTTCCCCAGCTGTTTCTTTCCTTTTAAAAAACCTGCTACTCTATGTCATTACCGTCCAGGCAGCAACTTTGCAATTTCTGCCCATCTGTTTCCCAGCCTCTTGTGCGCCTGGTAAATTATTCTATCTTCTTCTTCTGTCCAGGAGGTTTTTTTAACTTCTGGATTCAAATGGTTATGCCACCGCTCCCTGCATTGTTTCCCGATCCTTCCTTTCAAGTGTTTGGCGATGACAGACCAGCGCTTGGGGCCATATTTCTGCACGAGCTCTATCACCTTCAAACAAGCACAGAAACACTACCTCTAAACATCCAGTATTATACAGAGAGGCCTGACTGTAATCACACACTGTTAAATAAAATTTACCCAGTTAAAGAAAATTTACTAAACTGTATCTTTTAACTAAGTGACAGATTGAAACTGTATAAATTTGTATAGAACAGTATTTCTGAAGAGAAAACATATTAGATGATGTACACATTGTGTTGTACCAGGCGCCATCTTAGAAGAGGCATTCTCTCCTGTGCAAGATCACGATTAATACCCACAGAGACCCACTAGAGTCTGACAGCACATCTTTTCTTCCCTCCTCCCTCCTGCATTTAGGAGGGCATTTTGTGTTGCCAGGGGAGGAGAGAGGCAAAAAAATTGTGCTCTGCAGGCCTATATTTTTCTGTCTGCAGATACGCTTCAGTGGGTGCAATCCCAGTTTCCAACAACTTTCATACTACCCCTACAAGGAAGTCTATCATTATGCTGGAAACAAAGAGAGATCAGAATAACTGCAAAACATTTGCAGGAAAAAAATGATGAGTGTGTAGGTACCCTTTACAGCAGTTCTTTCCTACACAGTGGTCCAATGGTTATTGGTGGAAAGTGCTGCCAAATTGCAGCTGGCTTCCAGTGTTCCCACTTTCGATGAACAGAGGGGGTTCGCCATGGCCTGCCTCTGCATAGTGACCCTGGATTTCCTTGGTGGTCTCCCATCCAAGTACTAACTAGGGCTGACCCTGCTTAGCTTCTGAGATCTGAGAAAATTGGGCTAGCTTGAGCAGGCCCTTAACTAGGAATTTTTCTGGGGAGGGGTGCCAGCCGCTAATTTAATTAACATAACTAATTAAATTAGTTTCATTGATTAAATTAAGACAGCCAAGGAGGGAGAAAGGCGGCCTCACTAGGTCTTCATGCTCGTTCTTGGTGGGGGGGGGGGGAGAGAGAGAGAGAGAGAGAGAGAGAGAGAAGGCTGCAGCGGCTCACTGATTCCCACCCTGCTCGCCTTGGAGGGGATTCTCAAGCCAGACAGTGGTGGTAGCAGCCTGACGCTTCTCACTTGGCCTCAGCTGCTCCTCACACTGTGGCGGGCTGCCGGCATGGAGCTCAGCCTCCGCAGCAAAGAACCTGGACCCGGCTTCCCCTCCTTTCTGAAAGTGGTGACTGCCTAATGGTGGTAAGGAGCGTCTTCTCCCTCTCTCTCCCCTCCTCTGTGCCTGCCGCAAAAGGCTGGCTCCCTGACCCAGCATGGGGGAGCGCCACTTTTCTTCTTCATGGGGGCCCTACTGCACCCCTCCGCTGGCTATGGCCCTGGTGGGGGCATTTTGATGGGGGCACCCCTGATGTGATAGGGGGCACTGCCTTCTCCCTCCCCCGCTGGCTACGGCCCTGAGCCGTCCAGACATGGCCCCATTGTTATTACCGTATGAGAAATAAGAGGAGCTGAGATTCAAACACAGTGGATTTCCTACAGCTACCTCAAGATACCATGGCTGAACTATAAGTCAGGGTTCTTCCTGAATCCAGTACCATCTCAAGCAGGGTTATACCCTGCTAAGCCCACTGACTTTAATGAATGTAGAAGGGTGTAACTCTTCTTAGGATGGTATTGTTGGCCTCCTGGTCACCACACTATAGCAGACCTCATGCAGAGAGTTCACTTCAGCAATGACCTACAGCGCTGGATTCCAACAGCAACTCAAGGGTTTTGAAGATTATTATTTAATATGAGGAGACCCTAAATAAGCACAGCTATTATTTCAATATATATGAATGTAGGCACAAAACCTCCTGCCAATTAATCAGTACTATTTTTTAAAATTACTTACCCGTTGATCTTCTTCTTTCGTCCATGGGCCCTTGATAAGCTCTGGATTTAGTACCTTTTGCCACCGATGCTGGCACTGCACATCTGTCCGATTCTAACAGAATGATGACAACAACAAAATTTCCCCTCAAACAATTACATCAATGCTACAGACAGAAGCAAAACTTCCACTTTTTTCATTTATCTCAGTATTGTAGCTTTACACCAGTGATCTGAATATTTGCTTGCTTGACAAAAAATCTTTTTGTTCACATCAAAATTAACAAACGTAATAAGCAAAAGACTAGTGATAGAAGTAAAAGAACTGTACAACTTTTTCATAATTTTTTACCAGCAATTACTAACCAGAACCTTGGTTATATCATAAGAGATTAGTTACCCAAAATAATAACGTTCACCTGCAGCATTTCAACAATTACATTAAAAAAATTACTAACAAAACTGTGTTTAGTAAGTAGCAGCCCTTATGGAGTAAAGCCAATTTCTGTTCTGTACTAAGGTTTTTTTTTGTTCCACTGATATATACGATGTACCAACCATCTGTTGTATATAAAATCCCCCCAAAGGCTTTTTAGCATTTTCCTTCCTCCATTTCACATGAGAAGTGAAAGAAATACATTAAAACATGAGTGTACATGGTACAGTTTTCTGCAAGCCTCCCAAATTGCTATAATTGCATTGTCCACATCTGTAATTATGAAACAACTTCTCCCCCTTTCGCCCAATGATAAATGTGTGGTTATAAACAGAAAATGAGGTCTACTTACAGGAAGGAAATTGGCAATAACTTTCCAATCTTCTGTGCCATTCTGCTCCACAAGTTGCTTTAGCTTCTCATCCTAAGAGCCATCAAGAAAAGGCTATATAAGCACCAGTCAATGGCTTGTTTCAAATTTGAAAGATTAAAAAAAGAAGATAATAACTAGACTTGACTAAGTACTACTGCGCCTCTGCCTTTGCAAAGGGAAATACTCCAGTTTAATTGTGCTACTTTCTGGGTTACAAGTACAACTTAAAATTATTTCACTGGAAAATAGTATGACTTTGTATTTTGAACAAGTAGCCTAAATTGGATTCAGCACTGGAAGCTATGCAGTAAAAAAAAAAAAAAAGATCTGAATAATTAAGTCTTCTTTTAAAATGTCCTGCTTGTATTTTAATATACGTGGGCTGCAATCCTGCGCACACTTAACTCAGGTCTTACTACCTGCAGTCATTTAAGCCAGTTTGAACCCAAACTGTGAATTGCCACACTAGCAGACAAGTGTAGAAGTCTGCATACAACAACCACTGAACATAACCTGTCTGTGTACTACTGATGCAGTGAATATTATCTATGAATCCTACCCTTCCTCAAGAGAGCACACAGCTTCCTACAAGGAGTATCTATCCTCACAATTACCTAGTGTGAGACAAGGCAGCACTGTACATTACAATAGTACAGTCCTGCTGCCCAAAGAGGCATACGCACCTGTTATCTCACTCAGCGGTGTGTAGTAAAACTTAACTGTGTTCTAACATCATTACTCTGACTCCTTCCCCATCTTGTATCATTAGCTGGAAGTTGGAGGGAAATGCACAACTTGATAATGTTAGAACACAGATAAATTTTGCTGCATTTTTTAAAAAGAGAGGGGTTTTTTTTTACATATGTAGTTTCACATGCAGATACTTGCCCAAGGACTCCAGTAAGTTACACAACAAAGAACAGAGTCACACTAGTCCTTCCCTACCCCCTATCTTACACTCCATCCAGTCTTCCACACTGGTGCTGTTACATCACAGCAAACACCATCACATTGCACTGGAATGAACAGAAATAAATGGGAAATTCATTAATACACCACTGTAGGAATCGTAAAAATCTAGGGATGCCAGCCTCCAGGTGGGACTTGGACATCCCAGAATTACCGCTCATCTCCAGACTACAGAGATCAGGTCCCCTGGAGAAAATGGCTGTTTTGGAAAGTGGACTCTGTGGCATTGTACCTCACTGAGGTCCCTGCCCTTCCTAGGCTCCACCCCCAAATTTCTAGGAGTCCATCAACCTGGCAACCCCAGTATTTTAACAACAGCCACTAGGGTGTAGCAGTAAATATGTCAGAGAGAGTGAGAGAGAGAGACCCATGTTTAAGAACAACAACGTTTTATTCCTGCTATAAGCTTTTGTTTGCCTGCACACTTCTTCTTTGGAGGGGGGGAGAGCTAAAGAGAACACACCAGAGAAAGAGATGGATTCCCCTTTCCATTTCTAACAAATGGGGGAGGGAAGAAATCTGACAGCACGGCTTGCATTCCTTATTAGTGAAAGAGAGCAAGAGTCCAGCAGCACCTTAATGACTAACAAAATTCGTGGCAGGATAGGAGCTTTTGTGAGTCATTGCTCACTTCTTCAGATACAGCTAGAATGTGAGTCCATCTGTCCTTATATCTTGGAAAGCGAAGTGATTTCAGACGCCAAATGACAATAGCAGGCATTGGTAATGAGAAGAAACCTAGGTCTCAATTCAGTCCAGGAGGATGCATTGTCTTGAGCTTCATTATCAGTTGTAATTCAGCAGTCTCTCTTTCTAGCCTCCCTTTCAAACTCCTTTGTAAGAGAACTACTACTCTTAGGTCAGCAACTGAATGTCCTGGAAGGTTAAAATGTCCCCCCACTGATTTTTTAATGCTGTGGTTTCTAATAGCAGTAGAAAGAGTAAGAGTCCAGTAGAACCTTTAAAGACTAAAACAATTTGTGGTAGAATATGTGCTTTCATGAGTCACTGCTTACTTCTTCAGACTTATTTCTATTTATTCTTTGCATCCTCCTGGACGGAATCCTCCAGTGCCAAATTGACCAGTACTGATATTTCCACGCCTACTACCCTTCTGCATATTACACCTAATCCAATCAAGCCTACTATTGCCATTTGGCATCTGAAATCATCTTTATAAAGTTTATCTCTCTGGTATCTCATGTTATATTTTATGACACAAATGGCTTGGCCCAGCCCGACAAAGTGAGATTTATGCCAGATCCGGCCCTCGTAACAAATGAGTTCGACACCTTGGTCTTACAGCCTGTAACATGCATTGGCAGAAGTGTGGAGATGCTACACGTGTTGGACCAAGGGGTTCTCCAACATTATGCCAAGTATATGAAATGCCACTTTGCATTCTCAATGGCTCCCACTCAATGTTCCCTCTAAGCTGTGGGGTCTTGTGAGCAAAAATTCTGCTTTGTGAGCTACTGGCATTAAAGTTGTGAGCAAGAGATTTGGCTGCTGGATAAACTAGTTTGCTCTGGAGCCGTCCTTCCTGAGCCAAGACAAAAATGTGTGAGCCAGAGGCTCAAAAACCGTGAGCTAGCTCACACTAACTCAGCTTAGAGGGAACACTGCTCCCACTTGTAAGGACAATGAGGTTAAATGTTTACATTTACCTTTAGCCACTGTATAACCTAGTACTGAATTCCTGGTTTGTGGACTAGGCAGCAAGACAGCAATCTCCCTAAAACTTCTGAGGAGTCACACTGAGAAAGTTCTTTAAAAACTGCTGTCTTGTGATAACTTGACCTAATAACCTTTACCAAAAATTTAGGAAGCAGAACACTGGATCAAGAAGACTACTTAACCAGGGGTCATTTCCTGCAGGAGCACACAGGAGCAGAACTCCAGCAGTAAGGAGCCCAGGGGGCGGGCACATGCAACAAGCCCCGCCCCCTGCTCCCAGCAGCCCTCTCTTGGGGTACGAGGAGCAAGAAGCAGCCAGGTAAGTTGCACAGCCCGCCTGCCCCCGCCTTCATGTACAAGATCTCCCTCTTCTGTGAGGGCAGATCTGCGTGTTCCCCCCCATAGCTAGCAATCCAAAACAGTCCAGTGGCACCTTTAAGACCAAGTTTTATTCAGGTACAAGCGCTCCCTCCTCTGTGAGGGCAGATCTGCACGCCCCCCCCCCCCATAGCTAGCAATCCAAAACAGTCCAGTAGAGCCTGAGCGGTGGGTGTTGCCTTCTAATAAGTTATGTTGCCTTCTAATAAGTTATGCTAATGAGCTCCTGCACCTCTTTTTCTACTAAATGATCCCAGCTTAAGACTGCTGCAAAAACATCCCAACAATCTACAGATGCTTTTGAGAAAAGACCTATTAATGTTGATATATCAACATCAGAGAGTGATCTTTATCAAGCCAAAATAATATTATGAAAATTGAATGCACAAAAATGAAGACTGCTTAAACTACCACTCAATCTCAGCTTTACAAAGCAAATTTCTTATCACTGCCCTTTATGCAGAAAATGTAAGAGTGATAATGTGAGTTAAAGTTACCAGAGTACTCAATTGCATACACTTGACTTTCCAAAAGAGGGTACATATTTAATGTACATTTGGATGTTTCTTTGGTATTTTAAGAACGGCTATTCCAGAAGTGCAATTCAGTTGCTTAGAAGCTTTGCTTGCCCCACTTGCATGGAGTATACCTTAAACCACTGGCTCCTCATGCATTTCGGTAAGGACTCATCTCCTGCAGAATCAAGTGTCTTTATCTGGTACCCAGTGCCTGAATCAACAGTTCCCAACTCCATAGCTGATTTGTGTGTAATGCAGTGGTGAGTCTATGTGAAGGGAAGCAAGCCCCATGTCACTCTCTTCGCAACACCTGAAACCTGGTGACCCATCCATAAGAAGATCAGTAATTTGTGCTCTGCTGCCTGCCATTCTAAAATGCTTTACAGCCTTCATGGCTCATGTGGCAACCACTGAAGACAAATAACATTGATATTAATGAAATGCAGTTGAAGGTTGACGTCAAAATTTTTCCTGTTTTATCACCTCATGGCCTGTCACTGTGTAATATTGTAACTTAGCCATAAAGTAGCACACAAATCAGAATAATAATGTTCAACAGGGTTTTCAGTTTTATCACCTCATGGCCTGTCACTGTGTATTATTGTAACTTAGAATAATGAGAATAATAATGTTCAACAGGGTTTTCAATGGCTTCAATAACTCTGGATCAGGTACATAAAGCCAATTCCAACACCCATACTACACAGCAGGCCAACTGTCTCAAACTCACTTGAGATTTGGTTACAAATCCAACTCCAGAACGTACAAGGGGGAAGCAAGGCTGCCTCTCCTTTCCCCCCAGGACCCAGTGAAGTGAATCTCATTCCATGGTCTTGTACAGGGAAAGGTATGCAGCCATGGAAACCACAGGGTGGAGAAGGCACGGTTCTCATTCCAGACCCTTCGGTCTCCCAGGTCAAAGCACTTGCAAGTGTGACTCCTCCACCAGCAAATCTCCTACTTCTTTTTCCTATTGCAGCCATTCTCCACTGCTCCTGGACTGTGTGTCAATCTCTGCCCCTTGTCTCACCATCTGCCTGGAGGGCCACATTAGTTCCTGGTGGCCACAACTGAGAAGCCGAGCAGCAGGCAATGAAGTCCACTAATTATCTATGCCATTTCTTTTCAAAAGATGTTCCTTACAATCTAGCCTTACAATATATTAGCACAAAAGAAACTTTCTCTCTTATGATGACAAAGACCAGATTTCCCCCCCTACATTCCTATCTTTTTGAGGCACACACTGCTATTTACCTCTTCCCGGGTCCACCTGGTTTTTCCTAAATGACGTTTTCCACCCTTGGCCAACAGACCATCATAGTCATGATCGTAAACCTCGGTATCTTCATCCTCATCATCGCTACTGTAGATGCTGGAGAAATAAAACACAAGGCAAAATGGGATGGCACACAGGGGCTTTTTGAAACAACATGGTTTTCAGGAATATAGGAAAACACAAGAATCTCCGTAAAGGTTATGGGGGTAAACATTCAGAAACTTGCACTACAAGATTTTGTTCTGCATTCTGTTCTAGTATTCTGAACTGGTTCTGCTGTTTTTGGTATCCACAGATACAAGCAAAAGGTTGGCAACCTCTTTCACAGGCTGCATGTTTAGACCTGCTCAGACTGCTAGATCGGTGGCAAATTACACATTTGGCAGCCTTTCAACCAATGATGGTTTCAAATTAAAATACAGTGTTTAGGACAATAAAGAGAACAGAGGCTGTGTCCTTTGCCCAAGTACATAGTCAGAATCTCTAACCTGTGTCATATGATCTGAAGGCTTCATGCTTTTCACAGTGTTGATAAAGTACTGTGAATATTCAACTCTCTGATGAAAAATGACCTCACTACTTTAAAACATTTAAAACAGGGGGAAATATTCAATAGTGACTGGATGATAAAATAATAGCTGAATCCTATGCATGCCTAATCAGAAATCCTAATGACTTGCTCTGGACTTCATGCTTCCCTTCTAGGGGCACATACCTGGGAACAAGGCTGCAATCCCAAACACATTTATCAGGAAGTGACCCTCAGTGAAGTCACTGAGATTTACTTCTGAGGTAATAGAAGTACATCATGCAGCATCCCCCAATGAATTTAATAGGTCTGATTCTCAAACAAAAACAGACAGCACTGCACTGCATGAGTGGAAAGAATCATAACCTAAAAATATTCTAGGGCAATGGGCTCTCAAAACACCACAAGGCCATCAAGTGATCACTTTGTTTTGTCAATAAAGAGTAGTATCAACAAACTCATAACTCATGGCCAGCTACAGCTATAACTGAGAACACATCTACAGTCTGAAACCTTCACAGCACCCAAGTGAATGATCACATTATTTCATTATCAATATTTTCCCTATTTCTGGCCCATCTGAAGTATTTCCAAGGGCTGTCAGTAAGTCAATAAGTTCTCTATACACAGTGCTGAGTAGAAGCAATCCGGTTTTCATAAACAACACTTAACCTACCCAATAAAATTAAAGCAAAGTATTTTGCAACAGGAGTTGCCTTGCTTCAATATTGTTGTGCAATGTTTTATTTCCAACTCCAAAATATAAACATGACTTCTGAAACCTCAACTCGCAGATTGTATCTACAGTACAAAAGAAAATATGGATAGTTTGGGGCTAATTACTGTGATATATAAATTGGATGAAGTTCAAATACCATTTTAAAATGTATTTTGATAAATAAGCTAATTAAGACAATCCAGGCTAACACTGGAACAATTAAAGACCTTCTATTTAAAGGTTAAGAATGTCAAATCAGTTACACAGAAGGAGCATCACTGAGGTCAATAGGATTACTCAGAAGTAGTGCTTTATAGGTTGATGCTTAATTGCTCTACTATGAGGCAGTAGACTGCCATAATGCAAACTTCCAACTATTTCCAAATAAAGGTAATTTTTTAACTGAATTTTTAGCTTTAAAACTTTTGGCTGAGGTCTACACAACAGAAATAGCACTACTTTATCTCAGAATAGCACATGATTCTGAAATCTACAGAAATCAGATGCTGAAATGGAGAGGCCACCCTCGGGCCTAGCTAAATGTCAAAACAAAGTCACCAGCTCCACCCTTAATATCTACTATCACTAAACTATCCTGACATGTGTGAAGTAAGCCTGCTGGTATGGAGTATGTGGTTAATGACATAGTGAAACATAGTGGCTAGGGTGGGCTCAGAAGTGAGGTTTCAACTTGAGTCACTTTAAATTCGAATTTAAGTTGTTATGGGATTAGGGACAAAACATATTTATTTACTTTATTTTTTGTGAGTATTTTGCATTTGCGTGTGTGCTGTGTGCTTGTGAGCCTGGAAGTCATGGTGACCTCTGGCGACCCCTAGTGGGACTAGGATGTTTCAGAGAGGTGGCTTTGATATTACCTGCCTCAGTGTCCCGGCCCTGGTATTCCATGGAGGTCGCCCGTCCAAGTACCTGCCAGGGTCAGCCCTGCTTAGCTTTCGAGAGCTGACAAGATCCGGTTTGCCTGGGCTTATGCAGGTCATGTTTATTTACTTTATCAGTACCCCAATCTTCTCCAGAATGGTTACCTGAAGTGGCTTACAACATTCACCCATTTTATTCTCACGATGACTCTGTGAGACAGGTTAGGCTGAGAAAACACAACTGACCCAAGGTCACCCAGCAAGCTTCCAAGGCAGAGTGAGGATATGAATCTGGCGCTCCCAGATCCTGAGCTGACATTGTAACCTCTACCCCATGCTTGTTCTTGCGATCATAACCACGGGCACACTCATCAAAACTTATCAGCACACTCACATAATGCATCTGTTGCTGGACTGTGCCACTTTGGACTGCAGGTGGTAGATCAAACATCTGAATGCTTTCTCTTGTTAAAAAACCAACAACATCCCTACACCACAGAAACAGCATCTTACAGAGATAACTGGCCTAGAATCTTTCTCCCTTGTTAGTGTTGTATATTCTTGGAGAATGTATATTGGGGAGTATTCAAACATGCAATCCCCCACCCAGAGCCCAAAGTAGTACGGTCCAGCATCAGTAGTACAGTTCAACATTATAGGTCTAATGCAGGACACGTAGCTCTGGCTGCTAAAAGAATGTCTTCCTTAAGTGCTAGTTTTCAGCCACTTTACATACTTGGGTCCACAGTGATTTACCTTACAGGGTTTGTAAAACCAGGTGCATACTAAAAGTGCCATTTAAGTTACACTTCTGGGTATTGCCCTGCAACTCAATAGACACTCTTTACTACAGACATGTTGGTTCTGTATGCCACTGAGTCAATGGAATTTCAACAAGGGTAAGTTTGAAATTTAATTAAAAGACTTACTTATATCTCTGAAGTTAATCACTAATGATGCAATCCTATGCAGCTTTACTTGGAAGGAAATCCTACTGCATTTGCAAGTTAAGTGTGCATTTGACTACAGACTGAGTCCCAATGAACCAAGTTATGCTTTACTTAAGTACCATTGCTTTCAATGAGACTGTCACAAGCTGGTGACAAACAGCCTGATCCTATGCATGTTGAACCAGAAGTATGTCCCACAGATTTCAAATGAAGTAAAGCAGAGGGACTTATTCCCAGCTAAGTATGATACAGCTACTGCCTAAAATTTCTAAGTGAATTGGCACACTATTTAGCAGAGTTGCTGCTATCCCTTTCATTTGCTCCAAAATTCTGTGTGATTCAACCAACGTTCTGTGTGATTCAACCAACACAGGCAAATCCAGTAACGGATCCCACCTTTCCTTAAAAAAAATAAATTGCACCTCTGCAACCCATGCGCAAACTATTGTTCAGTGTGCCAGAAGTCTGAAATGACTCCAGGCTTAAGGAAGTGAAGGGGTTAACAGCGACCCCACCTGCAAAGTGCTGTTTAAATGCTGTGCACTCACGAATGGCAGACACACTTTCTGCCAAGGAAACCAAATTGTGCAATCAATTTAAACAAGAGAGAAGGTGGGGGTGGGGAGGAAGTGATTTGCTGCCGCCGCTTACGACTACCCACCACTACCACGACGATCATTGGTGATTAAAGAAAAACTAAGCAGCGCATCAGTCAACCGGAGGGCAGCCGCACTTTCCTTGCTTCTGACTCATTTTGCCAAGCCCTCCGGTCAGGTGCTAGAAAGGCACAAAGCAAACCCGTCCTCTTTCCTCCTTCCCAGTGCATGTTCGCTCTCCTTGTCCGTTTCAACAGGGAAGCTGTCGACTGTTCTGCAATCCCTCCCGGAGCCAGAAGATCTTACTTCCCGTTCTTTTTAGCCTTCCACTATATAATACCGGATGTATTATTATGAACATAATTATTACGTTTTTAAAAGTCCGTCTTAGTTTCTAAGGCCGCGCCTTCGGCACTTACTGAACTATTCCCCCAATTTCCTTCTGACTGTATAAATGCAAAGTGAAAATACCCCGCTGCTTCCCCGCACAGCGCCGCCGACCTGCAGGAAGGAAGCGAATGTGAGGCCGCGAATCGTGCGGCGCCCGGGCGCTGCAAAAACGGGACAGCCCAGAGTGCATAATTAGTTCAGCGGAAATCTCTTTAGCTACTCAGGCACACACACCCCGAACCACTCTGTGCCCCCCCTATTCTCTTTCTGAACGAGGAGCAAGTCGAAAGTGCAAGGGAAACCTGCAGGGCATGCGACCCCGAGTTAGGGCTTCGCTTTCCGTGCCAAGGCAAGTCCAAGGGGGAAAGGAATGGAGAAGAAACAGCAATCGGGTGAAAAGGAAGGAGGGGAATAATCATTACCGCTGCACAGCGAAAGAGAAAGGCAAGTTCTGGCCCCACGTGGACGAGCGACTGCGCCAAGATAATTAGAAAATAATCCCGCACTGTGTGAGAGTTTCTCCAGACCACGC